TGAGTCAGAAAAGCTCTTTCACTGCAAATATTATGTCTAGCAGGACAAGGCAATATGGAAAAACAAACCATTAAGCTCTTCAACGATCTCTCTGGAGAGCAAAGTGACATCAATAAGGTCAAAGCTGGGGTCAGCAGTAGTTAAATTACTGTGGCAGTTTGACCAGTATGACTCCATGGAGTCACAACCTAAAGACTCATCATCACTGCTGTCCTCTGTGTAGCAAGACAATATCAGACCATACTAACTATTCATGATCACAGTGCTTACATGAACTCATGGCATCTGACCTACAATCACCTTTTCATTGTAAATAAAGAAAAATCTTCTCAGTAGGAATATGTAATGTCACTACAGCAGTTGGTAGGTTGCTAATTCTTAACGCTCTGCTAGAGTAACTGAAGACCCGGGGCAGACTTTAACAGAGGATGACATTTTCAGATCACTCTCCTGAATTAAAAAAAGGGGGAAAAGAAAAACATGCCCAAGACAATCTTTAACTCAGCTTGCTCCCCATATGACAGTGAAAAATAATACCGTCCCAAAATACAAAGAATCCATCAGAGGTGATGAAAATGAACCATGAAAGAATCTCCACGCCTTGAATTAGTGCGTATATAGGATTAACGTTTCACACTCCCCAAACTGGATATCACTGCAGAAAAGTACAAATGCCTTAACACAGTGATTCCCAACCAGGGTTATCTTACTTGTATTCCAGGAGGTACTTCTGCAATTGTAAGAAGTATTGTAGCTCCGAAATTACAATTTGCTTTAGACCATATACTGACATATTGAGTCAGCCATAACACCTAAACGTCACATGTTTAAATGACAGCTCTTCCTAAAATACAGAGAGTGAGCGAGCTCAAAAACTGCAAAGTCACAGCGGGAGGAGGGGGTTGAGACTGCCACTTGTGATTTTGACCTCTGCAAATGAGTAAGTCTAATGTATTCATTCATAATTAACGTAATTTTCTTAAAGGTTCAGAAGAATCTATTTGTAGAGAATGAATATTCATGGCTTTGTTTTCATTAGTGCATAATCACCTGAAAATAGCAATCATCGTGTTTTTAGTAGACGCAATAAAGTCTTCCATATTGAAGCACCGTTTCTACAGTAGCCCAGAATGGCAATTTTCGCACCTTTCGTGGCCATCATAGTTTCTCCTTTACGCTTGGAAATGGAGGTTGAAGTGAAGGAGTATCTGCAACTATACCACTAGATGGCACTGAATCCTACACCCTGGTTCTTTAAGCTTTAAATCATTTCCTCACCTGGAATGATTGATATAATTATAAATAGGGTGCTGTGGATCATATAACATTGTCAATGTTGACTGCTGACTGGAGGGGAAACGGAAATGTCAAGGATGTCAGCGTTGATTTTGACCAATGAAAATGAGCAAGGGCGCAAAACTTTGTAAAAATAGAACCAGTACAAGCAGTTTTTCTCACAAGGAATACATCTCTCAGCCTATTCACTGAAGCAAGGAGAAGGTTAGCACATATACATTCAAAAACTGAAAACAATAGGTAAATTGGCTAAATGGTTTAATTAGATAGCTACAAACAATGGATGATTGAATAAGATAGCTAAATGTGGTTGAGAAGGGTTTGAATGTCCAGCATGCGACCCCAAGTGGCAATATATTTGGTCAAAACAGACCTAAAAGTTGACATTCAATTACAAAAAAAAATACTGAAACAAAATCCATATTTATATAGTTAATAGTGTTAAATGACACCCAGTTTGAAAGCAATTTAAATGAACACAGCTGGAGCATGATGATTGGTGTCAATGAGGTAATTTAGTGCTCCTGATGGGGCTGTGAGGGTACAGCCGACCAAAAAAGGGTGGGAACCACTGCCTCAACATCATGTGATACAAGTGATAGAGGCACTGTCATCTAAAAAAAAATAAAGGACATTAAAATGGGATGATGCTGTACGATTTAATGTTTGATTTAATCTACATTCTCCAAAACACAGCTGGAGGGAGAGTGTTGAAAATGCATAACATAAAACATGACCAGCAGGCATGTAGATGGAGAGAGGCAGTGACAATAGAACATCCTCCTAATCCTTTTAACTTAGCATCTTTCACAATTATATTTCATTACTGCGTGGAGCCTTAAGAAACAGTTTCCCGCTGACAAATCTGGTTACAAAGAGCAACACATAATATGTAAGCTGCTATGGTTATTGCAACGTATGTTACTCATTATTATCCATTATCAAACTCACTACCTGCAGAATTATTCCTCTTACTTTTACATTTTCACATGTTTTGCATCAGTCTTTGAGATCTAAAGACGTCCAATCATCACATCAAATACGATTGCCTGAAGAAAATTCTAATGTGCTCCTGTTAGGCTTTCGGGTTTTGAGGAAAATGATCTTTCAGCGTAGGTGCAGGAAGATTACTGTCCATGAAAATGACTTGAAGCTATTTTAAATGAATACAGATGGATAACGCTGAAAGGTCCGGCAGAACGACAACATAAAAGTCATTTTCTGAGGAATTTCTCTGTGAGGAAGGATGTCCCCTTTGGGAAGGAAACATTATTCAGCTTATTTTTTTAACCAAAATAAACCATTTTAAGCTTCCAAAGACCTTCAATTTCATCCTGGAGTGAGCCATGAATGCCAAGAATTACCAGGCTTTATGATCAGAGATGAAAGAATACAAAAGAAGCCTGGTACAGAGGATTGCTTTTGATGTTCAAATTTGTATTATAAAGGGGATTTTTGTCTTTGTATTTGATTGATTCCTTAAAAATGAACACACGGTCAGTATGTGGACACAACAACAGTGACAAATGTACAACTCACATGTTGAGCTGATATATTAAGACAGATGAGTTGTTGTAATCATTCGTCACAGCTCTATGTCGAGCTGAAAAAAAACAGCAAAACTGCTGAAAATATAAGCCAAGTTTGCAATATCAGAAAAGAAACTTTATTTTCATTGCTGTCTGCCGTCAACAGCTGTCACATTTGGAGTTAGTGCACGTTCAGATGGGATGTTTTAGTGAATGGGGGGGTACTCTTATATGAACATTTGAATTCAAATATAGCTGTCAGGTCCACAGAAGCAGGATTACTCCTCCCTCCAAAAATATTTCCTCTAAATCATCCCATGTTGCGTCCCGGGGCTTAAAACGCACACCGTGTAATTGTAACCATAATTACTCACGACATCCAGAGTTCAAATCCGGCTCAACACCTCAGTCTGCCATCACACGTCAGCCTCCACCCATTCAAACTGGTGAGGCATAAAAGCACGCAAAAAATGCCTTTTTTTTTTTCTTCTTCAATGAAGGAAGCGACACTTGCGGGGAAACTTGCATAGGAGGAGATGTGGCACGGGGTTTTGTCCCCCCCCCCCCTCTCTCGGCTCCACAAAACAAGCGCACACTTGATCAGTGTGGGTAAATGTACTTGTGAATGAAAACAGTGCGGTGTGCATGTTGTTCAGAATAACCAACAGGAAGAACTGTAACGCGAACATAACACAGGCTGTATCTCAATGACTGCCAAAGCGTCCTATAGTTGGGCACCTTTTGTCCTGTCAGCTCCAGCGGCCACAACCAGGCAAACCCTCATCCATCACCGCGGATGTCGTCCGTGTTGGAGAAAGATCCAGCTGCCATAAAAACTGTGCCCAGGAAGACGCACAGTGTCCTAACTGCAGCACAACAGCCAATCTCCAGCTCAACGCGCACAGGAGTGACCCAAAAGGCTGCTTTTAAGAAGCCTGACACATTGTCGCACCGTGTTTCCTCTGGGTGCCCCTGGATGTGAGGTTAACCGGCTTCAATCAACAACAACAAAAAAATACACATATCCAGCAGGAAACACTTTTTTAAAACAGAAGCACATCCAAACAATCTTACCTCTCTCTTCCCTAAGGCAAGGATTTGGCTCCGGTAGGTCTGACACAGCTCAAGCTGAATGTTTTGGCGAAGAGGTTGAAATAAGCTACTCCCCCTGAATGCAGTCGAGACATGAGCTGGAGAAAAGTGAGGAGAGCAGCAGCGCGGATGGAGATTTGAAACGGCGGAGCGGCGCAGCGCTGTACCGGCGGCGGAGTGTGTGCCTCTGACATCAGCGGGCTGCTCTCCTTTAAGGTGGCTCCTGCAATCGCTCACATCAGCGCCACACCACACGAGCCCGGGGTTTCATCCCTACAGCACACTATCATCACATCTCGCAGACCCAGAGTTGGAATGAAACCAAACAGTGACAGAAAACTTCCGTGGTGCGTTTAGAGAGAG